GGTTCCCCGAAGATACATGTACAACATTTCAAGTAGCAAAAATACACGCTCGTATGATAAAATTTCACGAAAAATATTTCATACAATCAATTCCTTATGAACAAGTCCATCCATCACGCAAACTAAGTTCCGATTTTAGAAACATAGACAATATAGAAAATAAATTGACACGTTTTCAAATATATCAAGAAACAGAACTTGCATGTAAATACAAGAATCCACTTCACAGAACACAATACTCTGAAATATTAGTTGAATACGAAAAAGGATTCGACATGACCACTGGAAAAGTAAAAATCGACCCATATGCCACAGGTCATCCTCCAAACGAAGGAACATCCTATATACCAGTTAATTTTGAATGCGTTTTAATGCCCACTCTCTCTTGGACCTCATACTATCATTTCACTAACCCTCTTTGCTTACCTTTATCCAGCACTGCCATCGATATAGACCGAAACAAAGACATGCTATATCGACTAACTACACCACTAACCGCTAGACAATTTACTTACGTTGGATATAAAAAATCACTAAAAATACACACTGCACCTAGAGCTAATGAATATACACTAGAATACTACGATCACAACATCATTAGAGCTAACCAAGATCAATTCTTAGACGACGATCGCTTCGCTAATCCACAAATCACCGAGAAATTTTTCATCAAGACACCATATATATTTACACTAAACATCTTCGACCGCAAGTTTGATCACAATATTTCAGAAGCACTAACAGACACACAAGCATACGAAAGTTTTAAAGAACGCTTCCAAATATTTTCACTAACCTTTCATTTCCTTGCACCACACGAAAGAGATTTACACTGCTCACACGATATTATGTTGCGCACTAAACAAACACATACATACAGTTACTATCGTTTCATCCAAAATCACTTTGACCTCCACACACCCTCTAGACAACCACACCATCGTTTCCAATTCATCAATTCAAAATACACTTCACCATATTTCCTAAATTTCACATATTGTATTAAAGACACTAACCTCCATGGTATTCTTCGTAATTATGACCCCATAACCCAAATGTACATTTTCTGCCCCATCACCAAGACCTTCAACGCCGAAGAATCCCGACCCTTCCTTATCCCGCACGAATTCCTACAACCTATAGAAATCCCAATTTTAGAATTCATCCACAACACTAAATTTAACCACAAATTATATAACTTAATCCAAAACACACCTTATGAGTTTGCAGTAGGCACTGAAGAACTAACCACTATTAAGGCACTTCAATTGCTTTGGCCACTGCTTCAAACTAAAAATATCATCCGCATCTTAGCTAAACTACTAACAACTTCAGAACTAATTCACGACATCTTCCCCCACGGTTTTTTCCCCGACGACTAACAGGTAAGTATGAATTAAATGAATATTACTAATTAATTACAGTATTAAAAACTCACCATTCTTTATTCATGTTTTCTTTAGATTTTTAGCCTTCATCCTAGATCATCTGAAAAATTCACAAAAGAAAAATAAAAAATAGCAAACTTCTTCAAAACTGTTTAAGACCCTATTAAACTTTTGCACCAACAATTAAATAAATATAATACCAATGCAGTAAAATAATTTATAAAATTTCCCCCCAAAAAGCAGTAAATCTACATATGATGAAAATTTGTATCTTAAAATTCCCCCATAACTAGCAGTAAATTTCCAAATTCTATGCAGTAAATTAATAAAATGCAATTGCAGTACTAACCTTTTGATATTTTCATTCATTCGCACAGAAATTCTATCCACACTCGCACAGCTCGCCCACGAAGAATTGTTTAAAATAATGAATTTCAGTTTCAAGTTTTCACACTCAACAACTCTAACATACAATAACATGTTTCAAACTTTCCTTTAACCCGGTTGGAAAGGAATCATATACTAAACAAAACTAACCAACGCAGCTTACTAAATACCACAAATCATAGAATAACAGCATGACTTAGAAAAGGAAACCAACGGTACCCAAACCGGATTAACCCAGTTTAAAACTGGATAATTTATTCTTTTGAAGACTATTACAAAGTCTTAGAAAGAAATAATAAAACACAAAAAAGTCGAAAGACAAACCCATACCACAAACAATTTGCTTTTTGGAAAAAGTACATAACCAACAAGACATAAGTAAAACCACAACAAACCCAACATAAAACGTTGTCACATAACAGGACCCCTCACAAACACCGCATGAAATCATACTCCCACTCCTGGCCTAACCCACCAGGAAAGGACGTCCTGAGCATGCTCTATAGCCGGCCTAACCCACCGCGCTACATCCACGCTTTGTGACCACACCTTTATTTTTAATAAGAGCTACTCAAGGGTGAGTAACTCTTCAAAATAACCGAACTAAAACAAAAAGCTTTTGTGAAAACAACTAACTAAAATCATTATTAAAAAATATTAAACTAATAAGAGTTTTATAAAATGTAAAATCACATGATGCAATATATAGATCAGAATACAACACCAAGGACGAACATCAAAAGACAAGACGACCTCACTACACTCGAGAGAGAATGACCAACTACAATCGATATGCCGCTCACAATCACAACTCAAAGGATTTAGAGTACGACTTGACCTCGCAGAAAAGGACTTCATTGAACTAGACCAATGACCACCTCGATGTTCAAGTATACGTACAGATCCGAGTAACCAGGCATCCCCTCCACGCACAATCTCCACGCCATTCCCAAACTAGATCATACACAAAAGAAGTTCTCCACGCAGAACAGAAAAACCTGACATAGCCAACCATTCTGGAATCAGAATTGACTTTGTTGCAGAGACTCAGTCGTTGTCACAAGAAGAAGCGAAAGAAATATGATGTTCGCCAAATACCAACGTCCATCATCCATCCTTGAATTACAGAAGAACTGTTCTAAAAAACTCTGTAAAACCCGGATGGGTGGAACCTGATCTAAACTATATTTTATGATTGGATAAATTAAATGTTTTACCAATGTAAAGTATTTAATATTAACCAATCATGATCCATCTAACTAACAACCCACTTATTTGTAAGTGCTGAAGTTACTTGTAATTTCAGCACCAGAGAGATTTGAATTTAACTTAGAAATTAGTTGGACTCTCCCGAGCACTTCAGCAGCCGCAATAAACCAGTATACCCTAGATCTATTGAGCCTAGCAGAGACTAGTTAAACAACCTGAGACTAGATAGTATAAGAGTAAGATTAGGATCGGTATTAGACTAAGAAGTTGCACGAATCTATCCGGCCGAAAATAAGATAGCGTGACGAGCAGACGGTGTACCCTATCCGAAATTACTCTATGAGTTACACTTCGGTCATAACTCACTGCTTCAAAATTTGGGTTTCAGAACAAAGGTTTTGATTCAGCTGCAATACTATTACCCAAAATGCATTGGGTACCTGTTACCCAGATATTTTTCTGGGTAACAGATTTGACAAGGTCTTTATGGCACCGCAAAAGATTCGAAGTCTCCTTCATCAAGATTTAATGACTCATTTTGAATCCTAATTTGAGAAATCAAGAACTAGTATTGTCAGCAAGGGGCTTGTCGGAGCTTTTTATGAAAAAGAGCACTAAAATCGAACTTTTTGTTGAACTAGCTCCTTAATGCCCTTTTAAGCCTTGATAAAGTTACTTCAATTTAAAAATAACTGTCGAAAAACTCTTTGCTGACAATAATAGTTCTGACATCACTGTCTTAAACAATTTTTTTATAACTAACTTTGTAGTTCAACACGATTAAACAAATGAATGATGATGACAAGTTATCTAGAATCCTTAATCTTCAATCTCCAATTATTTAGGAATAAAAAATTCAAAACAAGATGAAAAGCAAGTAAAGTTGTCAGGATTTGAAGTTTGAGTCTTGTTTTTATTATCCGCTAAAATAAAATGCAAATTATCAATCGTATTTGAAGAATGTTTCATCGGAGGTGTAGCGATTAGCATGTGTGCCTTTAGCATACGATAATTGCTTTAACTGTGTGTGCTTTCAGATGAAAAACAAATAAGCCTAAAATTTCAAATAATTTCGAAAACCACTTGATTTGTTAGGGGAGTAAATAATTGGCTTTCACCTTTATAAAAATTCGGAGTTCACAATGTTCAAAATTTCAAATCAAAACAAAACTTGAAATAGCGAATCTTCAAACTACATTCTTTTACATGGGCATGCTAATCGACAAACATGCTAATAGGCCGGTCCGCTTTTTCATCGAGTATTGAAAAGTTTCGGGTTTAATTGTTTTTGCAATCAAAAAAATAAAAAGCTGAATATGTTAACACCACAAACTACGACTTCATCTCAGTGCGACTGAGCTCGAACAAAGTTGTCGCAGAAGTGGCAAAGTAGTCGATAGTTTTATGAATAAAAATTTTTCAGCTGCCAACTCTGAATTATTTCCAAAAAATTTTCGAGGCTTCATAAGAAATCAGTTTGCAAACGTTAGTTACAAACCATAAAATAGTGTGCAAACGTTCAAAAAGAATATTTACCTTTAACGCATTGTTTTCCGTTTCTAAATATTTTTAAAGTTTTTCAAAAATAAAATTTAAAATTTTAAAAAGTACATTTTGATATTAATTGTAATTTTCAGTTGTATTTCACAGTCGTTAGAAACAATTAATTGCAATGGGTCGGAGAGGAAAAGTGAATCTAGAAAGTTTTATTGATAAACTCCATTCTGAACTTAATTTGAAAGCTTGAATCTTTGATCTTGCCTCAAATAGTATTTCAAATAGTTCCTCGGAAAAAAAACAATTAATGAAAAACAAAAAAAAATACAAAAAAAAATTTAAGGGAAAAAAACTTATATCTAAGAAAAGCACAAATATCACGTGACCGTCCGGCATATTTTCCCATGTTATAACTCCTGCTGAGGAGAACTGTTCTTTGATTTTATAACAATGCTCTTAATTTGATATAATTTAAGGTAAAAATGGTGATTTTATTGGATGTTTTTTCTTGTGTTTCAGGAGGAGAATCGGAACCATAATTTTATAATAATTTATAATCTCAATCTCTATTCATTGTCTGGTCTGTGCAAGCTCGTTATATGCCCTTTATACTTTAGCTCTTTGCCTTTTTCTTTTGCCCTCTGATCCACAAAGCAGCCAATTCAAGTCTGATTCGTTTCCGTACTCCATTTTTTCATATACTCCATTTTCAGTATTTCAGTATATTCAATGAAATCACAGTACCGCTGTGACAATACTGTGTGACCCAATTGAGCCACACTTTTAGTGACCTGGGACCCTCTTTTCATTTCGGCATCCTTTCTTTTATCGATTCAAATTGACTCCAAACTCGCCCGCTCAGTGTGGAAACAATAATCTCAATTCAATTTTAAAAAGGCATCAAAATGGAAACATCATCGACACACTTCTTTGCTTTGTAATTTAAAATAGATCTATATACACCCATATATCTCCTATTGATTTCTCTCCAGTCTAACACTCTACCGTCCATTTTTTGCTTTTATTGCGCTTTTCATCATCTTGGTCGATATTTTCCTTCGCTAATCTTTTTCATCTAGCAGGAATTAGCCACCTCAATTCGTTAATACTTCTAATTATAGTTTTTGATCAGTTTTTGCTCACAAAATTTACTTTAGAAGATAAGCTTTCAGAGTGAGAACTATTTTATCAATTTCCTTTTTACTTCTAAACCTTTTTAGCAATTTTATGATAAAATAGCAGACTGCATCAAATAAATACCAAATGAAGAAAAAAATAGTAGCCCAAAGATTCGGGCTAATTTCCCCACCCCTCAACGCCTCGCCTTCGCCGGCGACTTGCGACAACAATCTAATTACCCTTACTTCAAACCCTGATCCAACGGATGACTCATTTCACTTTCATTCCAAAGCTGAGTCATTGACATCAACTGGACGTAATAATTTATTAACCAAGTTAGACAAAATTAGTGAAAGTAGCAACAGTATTAACTCAAACGGGTACAGATTGGCTCGCCCTTCTAGTTCCGTTTCAAACCCTAACATTAATTCTTCCTTCTGGGGAGGGGGCAGCAAAGATGCCTATTGCCCAAATGGGGGAGGAGCACAGAATGTGTTCTCAACAAACAGCAGAGAGGACAATAACCCTCTGATTAATGTAGATGATGACGACGATGACAGTTTTTATGACGACCACAATGAACTCACAGGTGAGAGTAACTTACCATGCCTCAAACGAGACAAATTAAAAGTGAAAATATTACTTGGCTACTAGAAAAAAAAGAATTTGTGTTTGTTAGTAAGAAAAATGTTAGCACCATGAAAAACCGAAAAATGCGATAAAGCTGTATCATAAAATTGCAAATGTAATTAGTTTGAACCAACGTTTTAATACCGACAATTATTTTGTGTCAAATGTTCATTTTTCTAAATTCAAGCTGCTTTAAGAACATCTCATAGTAATTAGAACTTATGAAAAAATTCATTGGCGTTTAGAAAAAAAAGAACCTTTTAAACATCGCATATCCCCCGCCGTTTAAAATATAAATAAATCTGCAAACAGTTTGATTCTGATAAGCTCAGAAAAATCTCCTTTTTTTAGAATGGCACCTGGATGATTTCACGCCCTCTGCGAGCAGATCGACCAGTTTCTACAGAGGTTTTTTCGACTCCACTCACGAGCGACTGAGTCAGGCGATGACTACGGGAGGTACTCTCTTCAAGAAGGGGGGAGGGAGAGGAGGGCGCTCGTCTAACTCACCATCATCCGCCGCACCCCTCCAGACAGGTAAGAATTAAACGAGACAAGGAAAGCCAGCTGTCGCGCAACTAACGCTGCAATGGTCTAAATGAACAAAATACTTAGAAAAATGATTTTATTATTTTTACTAAAGTTTTATGTTCTTCTTCTTTTCAAAAGAGTCGGTTGATTTAAGTAAAATTACAAATTAGGCATGTGAATAGCTGAAGAAATGTAACAATTAAGGGTACGTGAAAAAGTGCGTTCCGTGTTATTCACAAAAAATTCGACGTCGCAAAATTTCTGGATGGTCTTTTCTGTGACGCGAGTTAATTGATTTTTCTGAACTAAAACATTTCTAAAACATTTATAGCAACAAAGTTTTTGCTTGTTCTACTGTCTAGCAGCAATCCAACTCAAAAATTGTTGCTTCAGAAATATTTTATATTTTAAAAGTCAATATTTCTGAATTTTTTTGAGTTTTTCCCTTCACAATAATTTTCATATTTCTGATTTTTTTTTGAGTTTTTACCTTCACAATGAATTTTCCTATTTTGGAATAATTATCTTTTGCACTATTACAATGAAGTGAAAACCACTCAGTCCATATGTTGTCCCTCAAATAAAAGACTAGGAAACTTTTAAAAACCATTAGAAGTTTTTTAAAAAAAACATGACTTTTATGGACCCTCGAATTAGACATTTAAAAGTGCCATATGCTCAGTTTAAACAGTTTTGTTCATCAAATAAATGAAGAATCGGCAGATCTGCTCAAATGAAAGATTGTGGGCATGATTGATCAGTAAGCAAAGTTGGTTTATATTATAATAATTAGATTGAATTTGACTTCATTACAAAAATCTTACATTCATGGCTTTTTTTCGTACTGTAATTTTTTTTTCTATGCTTGCACTGTTTGTTAGCAAATGAATAATGATTTTTTTAAAAATCACAAAAACGGGAATTATCATGGCAGCCCTAAAAATTTCAGCGCTGTTTTCTATTAGGTGAAAAAACAATCATTGCAAAGTTAGGTACCGCAAAAATATAATAAATAGACGAGAAGGATTTGTTATATTAAGCCTTCAATCAAAATTTCTAAACTAAAAAAGTTCAAAATAAACCTCAATGTTCAGTGAAACCTATTCGAATATCATCTCAAGGAAAAATTGTTATTTAAATTTTTTTTTACAATTGTAGAAACTAGTAAGCTGAACCCTTTTGCTGCGCTTAGCAACTCTATAAAATTGTAAGAAAAAGTGGATTTAGTATTAAAAAGTTTTAAATTGCTTTCTTTTTTTGTCACTGTTTGAGAAGAAAAACTGCAGATAGGAAAACCCATTGCTGTTTTTATCAAAACTTCTAATTGATTGACTAAAAGCAGACACAAATGTGATAGAAATTGAAAAAAAGAAATATCTGTCTAGTTTCTTCTCCAATTTCCGGTCGGCACTTTCAGTGCTAACTGCACAGCAACAGGCATTTTGGGATATCCTTGTTTCGACAACTTAAAATGTTCTCTTCGGGTTGGTTTTAATTTTTTTAAAAAACCATTCCACGCAAAATCGACTACCACAAATGATAGTCGGAAGGTGTCAAGCGATGATATATCCTAATAAGATCCTATAATTTGTGATTTAAGCGGAATTCAAAATCCTACAAACAATTTTTTTCGATGTCGAAAAAAATTGTCTTGATTTTTTGATTTTTATTCTAATCTCGAGCAAATAAAACAATTTCCATTTACGTACTGAAAAAATGAAAAAAAATCATTTTTTTCTCCAGGAAATCTGATATTGGAAGCAATAAAATTTACTAACTTTTCAAAAAAAAATTGTACAAAATCAAGCCAAACTGTGCACTCGATAGGCGCACAATTTTGTGTCTGTATGTTCATGGATTCCAGAGACAAGTGACGCGAGTTAATTGATTTTTCTGAACTAAAACATTTCTAAAACATTTATAGCAAGAAAGTTTTTGCTTGTTCTACTGTCTAGCAGCAATCCAACTCAAAAATTGTTGCTTCAGAAATATTTTATATATTAAAAGTCAATATTTCTGAATTTTTTTGAGTTTTTCCCTTCACAATAATTTTCATATTTCTGATTTTTTTTTGAGTTTTTACCTTCACAATGAATTTTCCTATTTTGGAATAATTATCTTTTGCACTATTACAATGAAGTGAAAACCACTCAGTCCATATGTTGTCCCTCAAATAAAAGACTAGGAAACTTTTAAAAACCATTAGAAGTTTTTTTAAAAAAACATGACTTTTATGGACCCTCGAATTAGACATTTAAAAGTGCCATCTGCTCAGTTTAAACAGTTTTGTTCATCAAATAAATGAAGAATCGGCAGATCTGCTCAAATGAAAGATTGTGGGCATGATTGATCAGTAAGCAAAGTTGGTTTATATTATAATAATTAGATTGAATTTGACTTCATTACAAAAATCTTACATTCATGGCTTTTTTTCGTACAGTAATTGTTTTTCTATGCTTGCACTGTTTGTTAGCAAATGAATAATGATTTTTTTAAAAATCACAAAAACGGGAATTATCATGGCAGCCCTAAAAATTTCAGCGCTGTTTTCTATTAGGTGAAAAAACAATCATTGCAAAGTTAGGTACCGCAAAAATATAATAAATAGACGAGAAGGATTTGTTATATTAAGCCTTCAATCAAAATTTCTAAACTAAAAAAGTTCAAAATAAACCTCAATGTTCAGTGAAACCTATTCGAATATCATCTCAAGGAAAAATTGTTATTTAAATTTTTTTTTACAATTGTAGAAACTAGTAAGCTGAACCCTTTTGCTGCGCTTAGCAACTCTATAAAATTGTAAGAAAAAGTGGATTTAGTAATAAAAAGTTTTAAATTGCTTTCTTTTTTTGTCACTGTTTGAGAAGAAAAACTGCAGATAGGAAAAACCATTGCTGTTTTTATCAAAACTTCTAATTGATTGACTAAAAGCAGGCACAAATGTGATAGAAATTGAAAAAAAAGAAATATCTGTCTAGTTTCTTCTCCAATTTCCGGTCGGCACTTTCAGTGCTAACTGCACAGCAACAGGCATTTTGGGATATCCTTGTTTCGACAACTTAAAATGTTCTCTTCGGGTTGGTTTTAATTTTTTTTAAAAACCATTCCACGCAAAATCGACTACCACAAATGATAGTCGGAAGGTGTCAAGCGATGATATATCCTAATAAGATCCTATAATTTGTGATTTAAGCGGAATTCAAAATCCTACAAACAATTTTTTTCGATGTCGAAAAAAATTGTCTTGATTTTTTGATTTTTATTCTAATCTCGAGCAAATAAAACAATTTCCATTTACGTACTGAAAAAATGAAAAAAAATCATTTTTTTCTCCAGGAAATCTGATATTGGAAGCAATAAAATTTACTAACTTTTCAAAAAAAAATTGTACAAAATCAAGCCAAACTGTGCACTCGATAGGCGCACAATTTTGTGTCTGTATGTTCATGGATTCCAGAGACAAGTCTTTAAACATGTTGCACGATCAAAGAGAATGAAATAACAAAAGAAGAACAAAACGAGCGTCCTTGTTGCGAATCCGCTTTCAATTCACAAAATGCTTAGGTTGGCCTCGTAATAAAATTAGAGTTTTTCCGAAAATAAAAAAAAACTGAAAAAAGAAAAGTAGACGAATAGTAGTTTCAAAAGCGTCCAGGTATCAGTTCCTGCTTCCAGCATCCTGAAAATATATTCCCTCTCATTTGATTTTCTTTTGTAAAACAACTTTTTTGTTCTTCTCATATCCATTTAAATGATTACAAAAAAATCAAGAGCAATTAAGTTTTTTTACCTCAAAATCATTGGCTATTAAGTCAGTTAGAAAAAAAGTAGAGTTATATTTGTAGTTTTTTTCTGACCACGCGCGTTGATAGAATACTTCCTTTTTACCCCCGACCCCTGGTGCACAACTGATGGGAGGCCCTTATTTCCTTCGCGGAAACGGAACGGTGTCATCGATTTCACCGTAGCAGTTCCCACCATGAGGAGGCGAAAGATTTTGGAAATAACACAAAAGTAACGAAAAACATGTATACGTATCAGCAAAAAATTATCAGCAAAATATATATAATACCAGTTTTTTGATAATTTAGTTTAAAATTAATGCGTTATTTTTTATATTATTATGTTTGACATCTAAACATTACTTTATAACTCTTGAGAGCTGTAATTATTTCATGAAAAGATTTGACTTCGTTTTTAGCAGAAGTCTTATTCCGAGATATCACTTTCTTCTTGAACGTAGAGATAAAAAAAAGTTGTGATTAATAGTGAACGTAGAGATTAATAGTTACCCGAAAGTACTTAGGTGCTTTTTTCGACATTCATTTTTGCTCGACAACAATCGGCAGTTCTAATTATTTATAAGTAAGTGCTTTTGTTCAGGTCTCTGTATCACCCTTGCACTGGGTTTCATCTGTGGGGTGGGGGGACTGTTCATTGGGAGTGTGGTGGCATCGTGGGGGGAGCAGGAGTGCGAAGGGAGCATAGAAAGGGGACAGAGTGAGCAGTGGCTGGCCAAATTCGATCAAATATTGGCTGAGGCAGGGGGCTTCCGACAACCGACATCTGTCACTCATATCGGGTGAGTCCGGTTTGAGTTTGAACTTTCAAAACTAGGACGTGATTGAATGAATGTTAAATTATGAAGTTTTCATAAAATTGAGGAATGAGTTGATGTCGCAAAGAGTTGAGACTGAGATGCGTTGACTAAAAAAGTTCCAACGAGTCAATTTCTCTCAAGTTTTCTTAAACCCTCAAAAGGCATAGGTATTTTATAGATCCAGTGCTATCCGAGAGTGACTTAAACCACTGCTGCAGCAAACGCTGATGTTTTACAAAAATTTTGTTCAAGTCTTTTTGCAGCAGATTTTTTTTTTCAGCTTCAGATCTTTTACAAGAGGCAAGCGGAACTCTTCGTCCGATTCTTCTTCTTCTTCTTCTTCTTCTTCTTCTTCAGTGGGCGAGTATGTACTGCGGAATATGGAACTGTTTGACCTCGGGTGGAACTCGATGTTGATTGAAGAGAGGCATTTTGTTCCAGTCTATCTGCCAGTGGCTGTCAATCTATCCATTCCAGGCCAGCCTGGCGATCAAGTCACTCGGTTTCTGCAGATGGAAACAATCTTGGAGCCCAATAAACAGCAGTTTTACGTGAGTTTCTTTAATTTCAATAGAATCTGATATATTTCAAAAAATTCCTTATGTTTAAGCTTCATAAAGAATGCCACTTTTGGACCCAAGGGTTTTAAAACGGAAATCCAGTTTCAATCTTGATGTTCTGGTTTTTTGAACTCTTGTCCAATTTGAATCCAGCTACAACTAAAGTTTGACTCACATATAAGATATTGAAAAAAATAGAGTTACATGATTTTTTGCTAGTATAATCAATAATCCTTCCCGAAAAACCTCAAAAAAAGTTTCAAGGCATTTCAAATTTTTTTTGCGTCGAAAAATTTAGTAGTAGAAAATCATGTTCTTTTTTAAACTTTATTTTGCACCATATGTAATGCCCATCTTGAGTCATAAAAAAGGAAAAAAATAGAAAACTGGATTTTTTAAATAGTTTCAGCAACACAGATTATGCTGACTTCCTTTTTTGAGACAGTATGAAAGTGTAACTCTCAAAATAATCAATCAATAACTAAAACAAGACTGCTCTTATATCAGGGCAAAGTCTTCATTGTTCTGATTGTCCCTTAATTCATATCTAATAGATTTTTGGGAAAAAATATTGAAAACCAATACATTTTGGACAATATCAAAATGTAAATTTTTGAGTCGTACGAAATTAATATGACCAATTAGCTAGTCTCATTTCAGTTTGGAATAATTTTGTTGAGCGGGATACGAATAAATTCTTCAAAACGCGCATAATTTAGTACAGAACATGGCCAATTTGGCAACTCTTAAACCCCCAGAACTTTCCAAAAAAAATGAACTCAAGAAGTCGACATCTTCAATGGTGCATAAAAATTTTTGCCAAAAATTATTGTTTCGATTGCGATAATTGACTGAATAAAAAAACCACACCGAGCATAAATATGCTGTTTTCTTCGATAAACGGAACAATTATATTATCATCTCGCCTTCAATTAAAAATTTAAAAGGGTGGACTGATAGTGAAAATTTTTCAGCATTTATATCACAGCTCAAAACAAGAAAATTGCTTCAAAATAATTTAATTGGTGCAAAAGTCTTCGTATTATGAAAAGTGCATGAAAAGAAGCACCCAAAGCTTCAGATCTTTCCTATATAACGTGATGCAGCACACTGGCCAAAAAACTATACAAATTTCTTTTTTCAAAAAATCAGCAGCACTCAACTTTGAAAACTTCTGTAAAACTTGCAAACTTTCTGGCTTCTCATCTTTGCTAATCTTTTTGGATTAATTTTAATGGCTTGACCTTATTATGACTTGTTGACAAATATTTATAAGCAGAGAATTAATTTTATTCGTTAATAAATTTTTTGCTGTTTTACGAATGTTGAGTGCTCTTCAAGTTTTCTCCGGTCTATTGGAGTTACTTAAATATATTTTTCACCAGATTTGGCAAATTATGTTGAAAAAATTTATACTTAGGAAAATTTAACAAATGCTTAACGATCAACGTTTTTAATCAAGATCAGGTTTGAAATCATGTTATGTAGGTCAGATTTTACTTTGAAGATGAGAAACATGTTAAAATTACAATTTCAGGTGACTGCTTAAACTGCAATCAAACTTTATTTTATGTGTAAAACTCATCATCGTTTTAAGAATGCAAATCATTAAGAGTTGTATAAAATTGTGCATTCCCAGCTGAGGGTCGAAAATGCAAAAAATTGTTTTATCTTTTTTTTCTCAATATCGAACATTTTATAAGTTCGGCTTGTGGTCTAATTGGTATAAGCCATATCTGATAGTGTTATATTGCTAGTTAGAGCATCCCGCATTCAGTAAAAAGAGAAAATAATCTATTGTACTACAATTATAATTGTTTTTTTTAATCAAAATAATAATTAATTTTATGCGCCAAATATAGACGCTTAAACAATTTATAATCCATTTAATGATGTAATTTTTCGTGACATTTCAATACATTAACATAAATTATAATCAATTATAATTGATTATAATTTTTCTGAAAATCTCTTATAATCTCATATAACCTTTTATAATCTCTTATAATATTTTATAATATTACATAATCCCTTATAATATTTTTCAAGATATTATAACAGATTATAATACTTTTTTCTGTCAAAAATCTCTAAAAGTGAGATGTTTTGTCAGTCTTTGCTTCATCTGAACACAAAGTTTTACCACGAAACAAAAGTTTTATAGAGATCCCTTCATATTAGTTGAAAAAATCCCGCGGTAGATGAAATATAACTCTTCTACATAAATCAAGAAACTATAGCAGTGTGCTGATATTTTGGTGGTCAAAAAACTTAAAATGTGCATCATGAAACAATCATATTCAAGAATAAATGAAAAAAAAACATTATAAATTTGAATTGATTTGAAAACTTTTAAAACATTTCTCCTATTTTTCACATAAATCAACGTCTACAAAAAGCATAAAATATAAGTAATTCAGGTGGAAGGTCTAAAACAATGGGCGAACAAAAGGATTTTATTCTCTTATAATTGATTATAATTGATTTTTCTGCAAAACAAATAAACTAGAAGTTTGGATAAAAAGAATCGATTGTAATCGTTTATAATGCATTGTAATTGATTATATTTGATTTCAAAAAGAGAGATTATAGTCGATTATTAATTGTTTAAAATCAATTTTTTCTCAATTTTCATAAGATTGGTACTAAAATCATATTATAATCGATTATTAACGCTTGAAACTGGATGCGGGATAACACTGCATGATGAGCTTTTTTCTTATATGGAATTTTGAAAAAAGCATACAATACACTTTGCACATATGGATACTGTATAATGGGCTTTTTTCTTTTATTGGGTTGTATGCAACTTTTTTGAGCAGGAAAACTTTTTTTTCACTTCGAGCTGCAGTTCAGAAGAAAGCAAAATTTTGCGAGACATGCAATTCTGGTGTACTGAGAGATTTCGTTCTTTAAATAATTGCATTTTAGTACAATTTGGTTGGCATTTAATTCTAAATTTATCCTTGCCTCTCAAAATTGGAATAAAGAAATCAAAAATCCATATATGCAACTGATTCACTGATATAAACGTTTTCATGTTTTACTTCAAGTTACATTACAAAAGAAAGATTTGATTTATCACAATTGCTAATCTGAGAGAACAAGAAAAATAAAAAAAATCCATTAACTTTGGTGTCTATTGGGAATTGAAAGACCCTGCAATTGATTGCCAACTTAGTTAGTAGTCTATCATATCTTATAAGCTATGATATCTTATATCTTATAAGCTATTATGAGCATCAGCTGGGGTCACATGAAAAGAGAAACAAAGTAATGGACACACTGGTTCTATTAGGCGCCCTCCTTGCCGCTCCTTCGTAGACAGCGAAAAATATAGGGAATATGAGACTCCTAATACCAAATAAACTCATCCCCTAAGGAGTCATTTTTATTTTTATAGACGCAGTAGAATTGCCAAATCACCGTACTCCACAAACAGAAAAAATTGATGATCGTAAAATTTGGGGGCGGATTCAGAACTTTGTTTGCAATTTTGTTAGCTTATTTTTTTTTTGGTTTTTAAGGAGAGCCATGAAATTATTTCGGTCCACATTATATAGGCCGTCAATTTTCCTTAAAAAAATTTTGCTAATTGTTCTCCCACACCTCGAAAAATTGCTGGATCCGCTCTAATTTAAAAATGCAAGCAAACAAGCTTAATATTAACTGCTTCGCGTGGTTAAATAGCCGTTTGAATGTTTTGTCTGAAGTGCAAAAAATGAAGACTATGACATTTAAAAGCAATAAAAATCTTCACGAATCATTGAAACATCTAGCTTGAAGTTATGTGCCATAGCTGGTAAAACTTAATTTTGTTAAATGTAATATTTTCTGATGTTTTTGAACTGAACGTAAATTACAGCTTTCTTGAGCTCCTTTTGAACGCACGTTATTATGTATGTACAAAACTTATAACATATGTAATATTTTCATTAAGAGTAATCAAAAGCCAACAATTTTACTTTTATTATTATGTACAAAAACTCGTAAAATATGTAACTTTTTCATTGAGACTGCTCAAAATTCCACAGTTTTATATTCATATATAAATCATCTCTTCATAATATTTCGTATAATTGAGACAAGTTTGAGTGATCAGACGCTTTTAATCTGTAATTGATATGGACCATAGTCACTCGACCGAAGTACTACAGATTGCATTAGGCTCGCCAGAACAAAAATCAGACAGAAAATATGAAAACAGCTTGGTTGGTCGAACTGAACAATTATCTCCGATCATGCATCTAAACTCCAGTTCCGCCGGCGCAAATACTAACAACACTGTTATAAATCTTCAGAGAAATAGCGAGAGGTCGTCAGCTGGCAATGGTGACGTAGACAATCAAAAAGCACACCTGGCTAAGAACATTAGAACGTCATCGCCTTCCTCTTCAAATGAATCTGGATCTATGTTGATGATGAAAGACGGCTTAATGAACGCAAAAAAATTCTCATCAGATTATTTGAGTTTCGACGATCGTAAAATAAGCGAGATTAAAAAACCCGAAGCAAGAAAATACAGCGAAGAGCCGAGATATGATTCGAAAATCGATTCAAAAATAAGTGAGGAGTTTTCGAAACGAAGGAGCAGTTCGGATCTAGCGATACGTGAACAAAATACGAGACGACAAGAGAATGAGAGGACTCGGTACTCGAAGGCATCATTGCGAGAGGGAGCACAAGGTGAGCAGGAGAGGAACACGGCGAACTCCTATTTAGAAAAGGAGAACAGACATGACTCATCGAGAAGAAGTCATGCTGACTTGAGGTAATTAGCCATAGAATTTAAGGCGACACTTATTCACGAAGTTTTTGTTCCGACCAATTTAAGAGTGGGAATGAGCTACTGTGTAGGGCGTTTTTGTCTTTCAAGCGGTTTCAGGTACCTCAAATCAAGCGAGATTATTACATCAAAACCTCATCTTTTTAATGACGTCTCTTACTTAATCTTATTCTTTATGGAGAAAATTGTTTAATACAAACGAATCACCTCCTGAAAAAACTCGTTTGTGTTCCTGATTGTCACCTTCATAATATGTCGTGGTATACAAATTGAAACATATGTAACTAGCTCTTATAAAATTTCGGTTAATTTTTCCCATTCCATCAATTTTCAAGTTCCATACATATGGCTTTTGGGGGGTCCATTACAATTCTAAGGGATTTCATAAAGGGTCCGTTGTATTTTTAAGACAATCTGATATGAAGATATATTAAAAGCGGCTAAAAAGAAAAAATGAGTTTTCAATTTCGTTTTTCCATTTTTTTGCAATAGTGTCGCTGTGTTGGGAACAATTTGCGCTATTTTCGTATCAACTTGTAGCGTTTTTTTTATCTCAAGGAGTAGAAAAAGCGCGTCAGGTAGTGGACGTGGATCAGTCTCGCGCGGGAAGATCAACAAAACTGCGGGGAGTGTTAGCAGCAGTGAGTCATCAGACGCCGTCTTCAAGTCCAAAGACACCACTGCCATTCTGAATATCGGAAGACAGGGCGCCAAACAGGGTTGGTCATACGCGATGACGTAACAAAACAAAAAGTGTATTTTTTATTTACGGCAATAAGTTTTTTTTTTTTGTAAAAATTAAAACAGGATTCGAAGTGGGCTAAAAAAATCAACTTTATTAGGTTTTAACAGAAGTATACATAAATTCTGAACAACTGAGTTACTGCAAATAAAATTGCAAATTGTTCAATTCCGACGATGTGTATCCGGCCTAATATGGGCTTCGAATGATACTTTATAAGAAAGAAAAGAAACTTTAACACGCCGAATATCTGGAGGCCATAAGCTTCCAATTTTTCAACAAAATACGCGTTTTTGACCAATCCTGTTGCCAAATCAGAAAACAAGAAATTTCCCTCGTCTTACAACTTTGATCTGCTAAACCTTGTCACAGATAAGCCACTACGAAAAATCTACAGCGACGGAGATTACTCAGCATTCAGAAACGAAAACACTAAATTCATCGGCGAAAACGAAGACCACCTAAAACTGGGCAGAGAATTCTACATGTATAAACAGCAGCTTCTGCAGAACCCAAAAGACAAGGCGTCTCCGGCTCGGGAAGACGAGGGTTTGAGGATAAGTCTACTAAAAGCTCCTGGGGTCCTAAACGACGAAAACCCTGGATACCAATATAGACCTGTTAGCAAGAAGCAAGAGCCAAATTTTTACAGAATAGAGAACCCTAGATACTCGCAGTTTGAAGTGAAGGCCTGGATACAAGACAGTAGGTGTGACTGCAAGAAAAAAGGAGTGGAGAGGTGGGGATATTATACAATATTAGGCAAAGTTTTGGTTCCTTTTAAGGTCGCGGTGTAGCATTCGCATGCTGGCTGTACTTTTATTACAACTACTTTATTTATTTATATACCATTTATCTAACAAGGCCATAATGGACAAACTATTACTGTTTTGTCGCTTGAAACGTCACGTATTGTATAATATCACCCCGAAGGTATCTGAAAAGTGTTCTGGAACCGACGGCAACTTCGTATGACGACGAATGGAAAGACACGGAGTCAAAAAGGTGTGAAGAAAAGTGGAAACGCGTGATCAAAGATTGGTTCCGAGTCTACACTGTTGAGTGTGAGCACAGAGTGTCCAGCTGCACGTTAGATGTGAAGTTCAAAGTGTCGGTCGATAAATTGACGGAGAAAAAATTGAAGGGATATTTGCAGGGTTTCGGAAAGATAAACCAAGTGCTGTTTGATTACTCTGTCAGAGGAATTTACTAAATATTTCAATTCAAATTTATATTTAATAAATTCATCAATCATTATTTCTGATTTAGTTTTTTTTCCTAAGAAAAGCAACTCAGTGTTTAAAATCTTCGCACAAAACACCATCTTCACTCAAAAAAAGTTCACTATTATTTCATGAAAACTACTATATGTGGATTGCGCTATGGACCAAAATTTAAAACTGACGTTTGTTTGTTTCGAATTTTTTTTGTCCTGAAACAGGTTTTGAAACAGATAAAATAATGATGTAGGAGGAGATTTTTGGTTAGTTAAGTAAATTTAATGTGATTTTTTTTCTTATAATTTCCTAATGAATATTGTATGATTGGAGTTTTAGAAAAGTTTTACAACAACTGTTAGACTAATTCCCAGTTTTAGATGGACAAATTATTTACCGACTGTATGGCTCGAAGAATATCCGTGTCTACTTCGAGAGCCAAACCTTACCCACTGCTGACTCTGCTCACCGTTTTTGCGCCACTCTGTCGACTTCAGTTGACCCTGTTTGACTTTAGTCGACTCTCCTGAATCTCGTTGACCTTGCATCGAAACTTTATGTAATTTAATAGCATTGGCAACTGTAAATTGATACAAAACTTCTTTCTTTAGTTTTCAAATCAATTGGATTTTGACTGGCTTTTTTCAATTTTTTCTGCGTATTGTTTCATAAAATTTTTAATTTGGTTTGAATAAGCCACAAAAAATTTTCAGTTATTTGAACGGATATCGACAAAACTTTTGTTTCTTGGTAAGTTTTGTGTTCAAATGAATCAAAATAAGTCCAAAAACTTTTTTAAAAAACTTTTAATGGCAGTAACTTTGTGCCGAAAAAAATCGTATAATTAAACGTATATATTGTCGAAAAACTGGTGAATTCGTGTATCAAACCTGCAGACCGTTGGGGACCCTGGTCGATTTTCATGTCGGGCCTTATAAACAGGAAACAGGCGCAATAAAACTAAGAAAATGTCATAATCGTTTAGAAAAGAAAAATGAACGAGACTGCTCGCATCAGAGCGAAGCTTTTTCCGACTGTAATTTAAGGTCTATTGAGTAACTGTTCGTTTTAAAAACAATGGATGACATTTCCAAAAAACTGAAAAACTCATTTTTTTATCATTCCCCCACACGCTTTGTGTAGAACAAAATGATGTATCTCGCATGTAGCAAAGTCTTACATAGACCAAATGGCATGCCTCAATTCGTTTTGGAACGATTTCTAGGGCGGATTAAATCTCCACATAAAAGTTTGTAGCACGAAATTTTTTGCATTTTGCGTTTTCATTGATTAAAACCAGTCAAAAAGGCAATCTTTAAGCCCCATAACCTTACCAAAACGAACACAGGTGAAATATCTTTATAAAATTGAGCTTAGGATAACAATACCTTTCCAGTTACATAAAAAGTTTTGAGAAAAGTAGCTAGTTGTTACTTGAGGAGTTTTTTCATTGCGATTTCTTGAGTTTTATGATGCGTTTTGAGGCAAATTTTCATACTATCTGAAATACAGCAAAGCCTTGAGCTCAAATCTGAAGGTTTTACCTGTTTCACTGATTTAAAAAAAAAATGTTCAAAATTTCAATTTTTTAGCGCGCTGCAAAGCGACGACTGAATTCGGCTCAGAAACCAATCGCCCATAAATGAGAACACATTCCGATTTTAAAAATTTTCATTTTCTATTTTTAAAACGTATTTTGACATCACTTATAAAATTTGCTTTAGATACCCCAAATTCCAAATTGTAGTCGGGCCATTTTAGATTTTGCATTGATACAAGCGTTTCAAGTTTTGTGAACTGTACTCTCGTAAACTGTTTTTTTTTCCTTCACATCTACCTCGCTCAAAACAATTGGACTCATGAGTAAATTATGCAGCATTTATTTAACAAGACAGCTCGTATCAAATCAAAGCCCTGAATGTTCTGACTGCAGTTGAAATAGTCTCGACTAGTTTTTGGTAAATTAATTATTTCCAAAACCTATGAAATTTGAGCTGATTATGTTAAAATTTAAGTGCTTCAATTATAAGGTGTGTGGCATTGATGCTACAAGTGTGTTTGGCATTATTATATGTTGAGGAATCTGCCTCACTTCAATTTGGAACGAGTTTGTAATTCACCGCGCGTGGCAGGATACTATAGGGGCTAGGCCCCAGCAGATCAAGATTTTTGTAAAATTGTTTCGAATAAAAAACCACCATCCCGAGCATATATATTCCTCACTTTTTTTGGAAGTCGGAACAAAAATAAATAAATCTTTTCATACATAGTTGACTCAAAAACACCCAATTATAAAAACTAACTTTCTTCGAAAGTTGGAACAATAAAAAATGGATGGAACTTCTAGTATATCGGAATAAAGTACTGAACGAATCTTTTGTTAATTTAGTTTTAGCAATAAACTTGCAAAACTTTTCAATTTTACCACAGTGCCACAATATTTTTTTTTCGTTAGAAAGTTGATTTTTTCCTTATTAAATGTGCTTAGAAGTTTCTGCCGACAGTTCGTGCAATTTATACTTAAAGTCAAGCTTCCCTTAATAACTTTTTTTTTCGATGAACAAACTGATGACCGTAACATCTGGACGGACTGCTTTGCAAAGCAGCTAGCTGCAACTATTAACACAGAAATGTTCGCACTGTCGAAGGAAAAAACTAGAATAATGGTAACAAAAGTTTGTTTTAGGGTCTTATAGTGGATATTGGCAACTGTGAGCGCCTGGCAGAGTACGCAGTGAACACATTTGTTTCTCCAACGATCCTGCTGTGTGGATACTCCGAGAGCACTGAAACACTGGCGAGTCATAATAGTATAATTTTCCAGGAGCTATTAACAAATATTCGAACATGATTAATTTATACTGGTTCCAAGTAACGAGCGAAGTATTATTCAGAACTGCGGATCTATTTTTTTTTTAAGTTGAGGGGGATTCAAGAGCTTTCAAAAATGTTGACTTTTTCTAGATTGATCGATTTGGTTTTCTGAGTTTCCCAAAGTACTTTAAAGACCCTATGATGTCAAAGAAAATCCCGAGAATCCCTGAAAATGGAGAAGAGTGTCCCCCTCCCGACTCCGTTTTAAATTTGACCCTGATTCAGGAGCTTTGAGACATATAATTTGGTTCGCTTCGGTTTAGCATTTATACCAGAGTCTGCTTGAGAATGAGAGATAGCATTAAAAAAATAAGTTCAATTTCAAAAATTAATGCTTATAACTATTAAACCTGTTTTTTTTTTTTAAAATCACGACACTAGTTCTCATCAGGAAGCGCGTCATTTGATTATTCGAATTCAAATTTAAAGCCATCAACAGCTGCACCAATTTCGACTCTTTCCCTTTATAACTCCCCGACTAACAACGCTCATTGTTTTTTGCTACACTAGTACTATAATAAGGGGAGCTACGATAGGAAAGAGCTGAGTAACTTTTTCAGGTACCGCTTTTGTGGTCGCCGAGGGTGGAGTTGCTCATCGCCTTCAACAGATCCTTAGGATCACCATCGATTGCCAGACAACAAGAACACATTCGGAACCCTGACGAGCCAATAAAGAGCAGTCTTGTTGCAACAAATGGCACAGTATATGAATCATCTTTTGGTAACTAGTTGTATTTTCTCAATATGTATTGTAAAATGAGCATATTTTTTTGTTATCCCAGGATTAATTATCAGACTATCCTGTCGTTATTACGGACAAGAAATGTTTTCGGCGCCAAAATATACTAATTTTGAGGGTGGAGCGCGTGCCGAAAAAATGCGATTTATTGGTCAAAAATTTCCAAAAAAAGGCCTAAAATTGCCTGTATCTTTTTCAAAAATTTAACTGCGGAAATTTTGGTCAAAATAGGGTCATTATAGTGATTTGGGAGAGCTCAGACAATCAATTTGGTCTACCTAAAAAAAGATCGACAAATTTTTTCCGCCCCCTTTAAAAATCCGCCCCCTTAAAATCCTAGATCCTCCCCTGCTAGGAAATTTTGAAAATGTAGCTTTTAATTGATTAGTTAATGACACACATGCATAATTTTTAACAATCAAAGTATTTTATTTTTCAGAGTCATCTCTCTACAAATTGCCAGTGCCTTTTGTTGTGGTATCTCAAGCAATTCCCAACATATTCACAAAACGGTATGCAAATCAAATAAAAAACATTTAGACTTTTTTTTGCTTCGCAGGATTTCGACCCACTCACTACGCAAACCATAAAGGAGCGAATTACGCGAACTTCTAAGGAGCGGTTGGCAGCAATATGCATTGAACTTGAAGGCTAGCGCCCCCCCCCCCCCCGAAAAAACTCATTTTTCTGATACATTTTTATCAGAAAAGCCAGGCCACTGGGTTAGAACTTCAGCTACTATTTGTCGCTTGGTGCGAATGGTCGCTTTTTCTTAATACTACTAGTTGCACGAAAGATATTTTTTTCTGCGCGCAGAAATTTTTGTCAAAATAGGGTCGTTGAGGAGTGATTGCGAAGTGACTAAAGGTCTCCACCTCTCAGTCGAAGTTTGCTGGTTCGATCCACACCCACTATGATCCGTGCTTCGGGCAACGAAACAGTTCTCAGCCCAGAAACCAATCCAAAAGATGCTCTCAGTTACTAATAACCCCTTTGCAAAAATATTAGATTCGAGCTTGTTTGCAGATATTATTAACGTACTCAATGAGAAAAAAAACTAAAACCGAAAAAAACTTAGGAAAAGTGGATGTTCGTTTCAGAAACACTCAGCTCTCCGTTGAGCAGAAGATAATCAGCCAAAACTTCACTTTCGTCAAAGCATTCATCAGAGGCTCCAAGTTTGAAGGTGAATAATTGAAGCAAAAGATTTCTTTCAAATATGTTAACAGAGAAGTTATTATTAAGGACTACATACTATGATAAAACCTTGAAATATAAGGTTACAAGATCTATCTCACTAAAAGTTGAAAACTATCCTTCAGAATTATCCTTCTGTAAAGAATCGCGTTGATCTCAGCATTTTTCAGACGAACTGGTAGTTATTGGCGCAAGTTGGACTGATGAAAATTCCATGTCACTTCTCACCACAATTATGGACAGTATGGAGCAACTCAAAAAGAGAGGTATGATACATTTTACCACCATTGCATAGAATGAGTCATTGACTTACTCACTTCAGAAAAATTGGCGGTTGACTTAGTACTCGGTTTCATCAAGCCGTATCTAACACTGTTGCTCTTGAAAAAACTTGGGAGGGGTGGATTTAGAGGGGATGGGGCGAACGCCCCCCTCAGGAATTCGACCCCCTACCGACCCAAATGGTCCCCCTTTGTAATATTTTCAGATATCCATATGTGGTGACGGACCCTAAAATTTTCCTAAAGGTGCCTTGGGCGCCAATATATACCAATTTTGAGGTGGGAGCGCGCGCCAAAAAACGCGGTATTTTGGTCAACATTTTCCAAAAGTGCCTAAAAGCACCTTTTTTGTTTTTTCGAAATTTCACCTGCGAATTTGACCAAATTTGACCAAAACAGGGTCTTTTTAGTGTTACAGGAGAGCTCGGAAAATCAATTTGGTCGACCTAAAAAAAAAGGTCGACAAAATTTTTGAAAATTTTTTTGAAAAACTGCCCCCCCTCGAGAAAATCCTAGATCCGCCCCTGCATTTTTTAGGCGTTGGTGACACAAATTTTTGTAAAAGCCTGTAAAATCTTGAGCGTCGACGTTGATAGAACATTTTAGCCCATTGTTTTCACCGAGAGAGCTAAAATATGACAGGAATGAAGCTTCCGCCATGTTTTAGGCCTTCTAAAAGGTTCAGTGTTAGTTGCTTCTTTCGTGGAAATACTTTTAAAAAAAGTCAATTTTTGGACTGCGGTTTTTACTTGTAATGCGACTAATACTCCTATTTAGTCTTTACCACTTTTTGAACTGGAATATTTTACCACTTTTTGGACTGTAATCTTGTTTATTATTTTAGGCTGGCGCCCCTTGCGAAGTCTTTTGTTTTTGGTTTGGAATGGATCAAAACTGGGGCTGCAGGAGTGGGTGACTACACACAAGGACTTACTCGATGTACAACTCAAGACATTCATAGATCTCAGCAACCCCATAAAAGGTCATTCAAAATTAGTTTAGTTTAAAAAATAAAGTATGATTGATAACAAACACATTTCGGGTTTTCTTTGATCAGCTTTTCAACGAGCTTTCAGAAAAACAAGACTTTATACTCAGGGGTCGGTGTACAATATTTGCAGTGTATTTTGAAAAACATTTTTGATAGATTAAATGATTATCTGATTTTTATCGACAGTAAATCATATGCGAAGAAACTAAACAGGCCATTTTTTAATTTGACTAATTTTGATGTTTTTCAGGTCATGATACCTTCAGTGCTTCTGGTTCAGTTGCTTTGAAACAAGCTGTGTATCTCGCGTCCAAACAGGTACAGTCATCAACCCTCAACCCAACCACTCCCACCACCCTCCCCACCCCTCCCTCCAGTAACTGCATCATACTTTCAAGAAACTAATAGCCTTGAATTGAAGTGTATAATTTCTCTGTTCTAGGCTCTGTCTCCCTATTCGGATGCTTACACTCTGTATGACAGATGGGTCCACTGCAACCCACAACCCCTGCCATTTAATTATTCCGTGCCCAGGTTAGAAAAACTAAACGTAGGCACCTGTTATACATAGTTTCTCTTAGTAACAACCAACTGACAGCATATAGTAAAGATAAATCACCTCTTCTCAATGTGAGTGAATATTATTCCAATTTTCACCTTTTCCAAGACTCTTCCATCATGTCATACGGCAGACTGTTTCGAGTTATTTTAGGGGGTACGCGTACAGCTATTATTAGAATTGAACACATGAACTTGGGAAAATAATTTCAACAGCCTAAAGATAGTAATTATAGTTTTATAATAAAAAAGATGTCACTAAAATAGACGTAATCAAGAGTAAACAGAGAAGAATCAAAACTAGAAAATGATCAAAAATAGAATTGAAGCCACGACTGAAAACATTATAACATGATAATACAGTCGGCCGCTTTTTGAAACTTTGTTATGGCTTTTGAATTTCCGAAGTGCTTTTCGCCAAAATTGGTGGCCGGGCAATAAGTTAAGATATGTTAACATCTGCGAGGAATATATTAGTTGTCCAATTGCTCTACTCAGACTTGAATGCATGCCACTATATTTTGTTTTGCAGAATGACTTATGGAGAAGAGGGCTCTCTGTCCAGGCTGATCCAGGGGACATTAAAAACATCTGTTGTGTCCCTACAATTCCTCAAAGTCCACAAGGTCAGAAAATATGCAAAGTTAGATCATGGTACCATTTATGATGCTCGCTCGAAAAAAAAAATGAAAGCGAACTTGTTGAAACTTTTTTTGACGTTTCTGATCAAATCTTCAAAACAAGTGAGTTATCTTTTTAAAAATATGATGTTTTTGGAACAATGGTCTGTTTACAATTTTCAGTCGTCTTCGTGGACAATGAATCAGCTGTGTGAAAGTGGCTCTGACTCCGCGGAGGGAGGAAAGAAGCCCTCAGCTGAACTGTTACTTCATCAGTTGAGTCAAGTGGCAGTAAGACTTCTGCTGATGATGACGAGTGACCCCATTCTACCATTCAACGTAGTAGATGTCACTCATGCCATCAAACAGGCACTACCAGGTACAAAAGAGAGCGCAAAAAGTGACAATTATTACTAGCTTAACAAGACTACTTATAGTTATACTACACAAGAAAAATATTTAACAAGACTAATCGTATCAGGTCAAGCCCTGAAGAGTTCAAATGTCTTTTACGAAGTCTCTTTTTTTTCTAAAAATAAATTTGAGTGGGAATTCGTTGACTACATAACTAGATAAATAGTGTAATAATCAAGGTTGTTAAATGCGCCGTTTTAAAGGGAAATAAAACCAGAGGAAAAAACGTAAACAAAGCAAAATTCAACAAAAAAAACTCCATTTCATCAATTCAGAGAGCGGAAGGAAAACAGAAAACTTTAAGCATTTGTTGTTTCCTGGTCTAGGAAACGACTTGTTAAGCAGAGAGTATAAAACAAGACTTCTCCTTTATCAGAGCACAGCCATGAATGCTCCGACTGCGTTTGAATTGGTGTCCAGTAGTTTTTGGCGAAAAAATAAGATGAAATGTAAATTGGAGATTGTCATTAACAAATAGTAAGTGTTAAAATGTGAGTCGCATAAGGAAAAGATATGACTACTTAGTTAGCATGATTTGAACTTGAAAAAAAAAGATGAATGAGAGACACTATTTAGTGCTAAAGATAGAAAACTTGAAGAAATAAAAAAAATGAAAGTATTTAACAAGCAGTTTATGCGGAATTTAAGTTCATGTAAGATAGTGTGTGGTATACCAGCTGTAAAACACAAAAATCTTGCTATATCTCGAAATTTACGGAGGGTTGAACAAAAATGTTAAATGCGTTTTTCTCATGAAGGTTTTTTCCCAAAAGTTTGCAGAAAAAACGGATCTATTTACCAATCTCTTTCCCCCTTATGGTATCTATTAAAGAATCTCCACCCCTATGAATAAATACAGTAAATTAGCACTAAAGCTTTGTATTGAGAATTCTAAGTTTGCTGCATTCTGATCTGTCGAAATCTACTAACTTAATCTACTTAACAATCCCTCCCCCTTTTCTGAAAAGTGGGAGATTGTTAACCGGATCCGAAAAAAAATCAAGAAAACATAGTTATGTTTTTTGCTAGATTTGGGCCCACTTAAAATGGGTCGTTTTAGAATACATTTTTTTTGATCTTTACAAAAGTAAAGTGTTGCCTTAATGAGCCGCAAAAAGTTCGGGAAGATTAAAATGGTTTTATACTTTCAATTTTTTTGTCCTGATGGCTTAAGCCTGCACTATATGTACTTTTAAAAAATGTATTAAAAACTGTTCTGCTTTATCAGCCGATTTCGGAGAGGGAAGCGATATCAGTGGTGTGATTGACCGACTTCAGATGGAGGCCACACATATACACGCATTCCTAGACTTCACTGCGCCCACCCACTCAGTCAGGTAGTATAAGGGGGGGGGGGTTGATGGGGGCAAAATTGTTACATAATATGCAGTGGTGCAGAAATTTTTCTGGCGGTAGGGGGGGGGCGGACTTTTTTTGTTTCGACCAATTTGATTTTCGGAGCTCTCCGAAAAAACTCTAAGGACCCTCCCTATTTTGTCAAAAAATTTCTGCGTCGCAGGTAAAATTTCATTAAAAGAAGCAAAAAAAGGCGTTTTTGGGTACTTTTTGGAAAACTTTGACAAAAAAAGTGCGTTTTCGGCGCGCTCTCTTCCCTCAAATTTAGTTATATCGGCGCCAAAGGCGCCTGTAGAAAAATTTTTGAGGTTAGCCAGCCAAAAATGGATATCATAAATTTAAAACAAAGGGGGACCCTTTGGAAAAATTTAGCAATCAGCATTGACGGAGGGGTCGGCAAGCTATACTGACCATATGGAAGTTAAAGAAATTTCAAACAATTTATTGACTTTGATATACCTTATTTTCTAAAAACTATAGGCTGCAGCTATACTTTCAATGCTTTTCAAATATTTCGAATGAATAGATTATTATTTTGACCACTCTTAGTTTTTTTAAACTTGCTTTAAGAAGCAACTGACAAAAAACAAGCTCCAAAAATGTTAAATATTGCCAAAAAATGAGGAAGTTCGTTTGTGTTTCAGTGGGACGGAGGCGAAAAGCATCAACCAGCGCCTGTTTGCCACTTCTTTCTACAGTCTAGAGCCCATTTTAATAGAGTAGGATTTGTATAACAACAATTAAACTATTTATTAAATTATTAAGACCAACATACGAGCTGTTCACGTTGTTATTTTTCTAATTTCAGCAGAACTAAACTTTTTAGGAGCTTAACAGCAAAATGGCCGATTAAAAAGTATATTTTCTTGTGAAACGTATCATGAGTTCAATAAACGGCCATTAATACTCAGCAGAGGCTATTCCGAATGCTACTACATAATAACTGAAACAATTTTTTCCGACGCGAAAATTTTAAGAAAAAAATCTAGTTGCTAGAAACTGTTTTTTTTTTTCTAGATATGGTCTACACCTGGACAGAATACAACAAATGATCCACCTACACAAGTCACATTCAAACCGCGAAGATGATGAAGAGGACAAGAGTGACTCATCTTCTTCACACCTGTGGAGATTGGCCATTCGGGTTCAAACCGAATCTGTCATTAGAAATCATCTACACAACGCTCTGTCTTTACTGAATTCTGCACAGCAGACCTTGTAGACTTCTATAAACTTAATATTTTTGCTTAGTTAAAAATCCTCTTTGTAGCTTGATTTTCTGTTTTTCATATTAAAATTAAAAATGTTTATTTGAATGCGTTGCATAATAACGAATAAGTGAGGCGCGATTGAGGGTAGCTTCGATTCTCTAAATCTTTCAATCAGTGGCGGATCTAGGGTTTTCTCGAAGAGGGGGCGGATTTTCAAATCTAGGTTGACCAAAGTGATTTTCCTTTACTCCCAAAACAGTATAAAGACTCTAATTAGACAAAAGACAAAAACGTTTTGCGCCGCCAGCAAATTTTTGAAAAAATCAGGTAAAAATCAGGTTTTTGGGTGTTTTTTGGATTTTTTTGAGCAAAAAATTACGTTTTACCGTTTCAAAAATAATATATAATAGCGCCAAAGGCGGTTTCATAAAAATTATAGGGTTTGTTGGCCTAAAATTGATGTCACAAAATAGTACCGAAGGGGAACCCTTTGGTTTCTTCATTTTTTCACCACTAATTTTGAGTGTTAACTCAAACCGGTTTACCAATGAGCTGTTCAACAAACGAAAAATGACGAAACCAGA